CGGGGGGGCGCCCGCCCCCCACAGGAAAAATCTCCCAAAAAAAAAAAAAAAAAAAAAAGTTGGCGGCATAGCTCATTGGGGGAGGGCAGCCACACAACCCAGTCACTGAGGGAACTGGACCCTACCTGCCCAACCACTGTCCAAGTCTCGGCCCTAGTGGCTTGGAAACCATACACTTGACAGGGCCAGTAGGTGGCGTAGTGGCGGAGGCGCTGGACTCCCACATGGTGACTGTGGTTCAAGTCCTGGACCTGGGGGCTTGAAACTCATGCTGAGTGTGGGTGCGTGTGCGTGTGTGCCCCAAATCCCAAAAGGAGAATGCAGGAGAAGGGATTGTGGCCTGGCCACCCTGCCTGGGGGGTGATTTCTCATTTCCTGTGTCTCTGGTGAGTGCAAAAATCTCCCTAAAAAAGAGAGGAGAAAACCCATGCATATGTGTGTGTGCTCCAAGTCTTACAGGTTGGAGAGAGGAGGGAAGGTGGCACAGCCACACCCTCTGGCCTCAACAAACTCATGGCTCTCCGCTTTTCATCTTCGTGTAAGACCAAGAAACTTCACCGCAGAAATACAGCATATGTGTGGGACCAGCAGATGGCGCAGCAGTTATGTCGCTGGGCCCCCATGTGGCTAACCATGGTTGGAGTCCCAGACCTGGTGGCTTCAAAATCATTCTGGACATGTGTGTTTGCGCCCAAGATTCTGGGAGGAAAATGGAGAGGACAGGATCGTGGCATGGCCATCCTCTGGGGCTGATTTCTCACCTTCCTTCTCACTGGCTCTGTCTCTCTCTGGTGAGCACAGGTGCCTTAAAGCAAAAACTTCTAAAAAAATAATAATAAAAAAGAATTACAGCACACGTAAAGGACTTTTATAAATCAGTGTTAACAGTGGACAGTGGGGAAGGAGCTGAAGAGATTTCTCCAAGGAGGTTGCTTCAGTGGCCAATGCACACCTGCGGGGAGAGTCCAGTAGGAATCACACCCCTGGACGACCAGGCCCACTGAGCCACGAGGACTGGAGGAGTCAGACCCTGGCGTGGTACTGGTGGGGAGGTCAGACAGGCAGCTGCCATGCAGAACAGGCAGGTAGGTCCTCAAGGGGTTGCTCAGCAAGCTCTCCCAGGAGAGCTGCTGACGTGGCCACACGGAGACCTGCGCACGTGCCATGGCAGCAGCGTGGCTGACCAGTGCAGCACAGGGTGGTGTGTCAGCCGGCCACGTGCTGACACCAGCTGTGGCGTGGGTGCGCCGTGAAGACGTGCCACCCTGAGAATAGGCTGTCCGTCCCACTTACAAGAACAGGGAGCTACTGCAGAGACTGAGGAGCTGGGTGGAGTGGGCTGAGAGAGGATGGCCATGGGGGTTCTCGGGCCATGGAGGTCCTTGGGGACTGTTGGTGACGTCTGCAGGCGTTGGCGAATGTGCTGACAGTCACTCCTTGTGAGAGATGGGCTGGTATTTTGGAACGGTCTCTGTGCCTCGAGCCTCTGCCCCAGCTTTCCGGTCATCTTGCACCGCCACAGCGTGCTCCGCCTGTGCTGGGAGCAGCCCAGCGGTGGCGCTGTCAGCAGTGCTTGTGCTTGGGCTCTCTGGCCGCATGCCCCAGGAAGAGAGCTTTTCACTATAGGGCGCCTGTGCTTGCCAGAGAGACAGAGACAGAGAGACAGAAAGTGAAAATAACCCCCAGGGATGATGGCCACGTCTCTGCGTCTCTCAGTCTGGATGCCGAATGCTAACAGCCCCAGCGCAGGCTACGAGCGTGATGTTTGCAAGGCCGTCCCTGCCGTGGGGCAGGCAGAATGTCTCATGGCTGAATGGCAGCCCCGTAGGACCCACACCGCTTGTCTGTCGTCGATGTTATCAGTTGGTAACTGGGTGTGTTGGTGACTGAGTGAGCTGATGGAGGAGAAAGGGACACTTGTCCAATTGCCTCCTGCCGTCTGCAGCCCCCGTTGCCAGCGCAGAGCTGGGATGGTGGGTGGGCTGTCAGTGAGGTGTCGCTCTCGCTGTGTCCACGGGGTCCCGGGCTCACACTGGGTCTGCTGTGCATGCTTTGTGCTCATACCTCAGTGACCCTTAGACACCGTGTGACAGAGCCATCACACTGCACTGTGAGCGTGCCCTACTGGCTCCCCCGTGGCTGCCTTTCCCCCGTGCGTCTCTGTTCTGCCTCTCAGTGCGCAGTGGTCTGGGCAGGGCGTCCCCACCGGGGAGCCGATGAGACAGGTGGGCTCCCTGACCGGATTACAGGGCCGTTGTCCAGCCTGCCTCTTTGCTGATCTGTCCACAACCCCTGTGGCCAGTCCCTCAGTTAGGCGGGGGCCAGGCAGGTCCATTCCCGGCCCCTGCCGGCATAGGCTCAGAAGCCTCTGTCCGCCCAAGAGCTGCCAGTGGGGGGTTCCAGACTGATTGTCTGGGATGAGGCCAGGCTGACTGGGTGCCCTCTGGTGCGGGCCAGGGACTCAGGCTTAGCCGTCTGTGTGGCCCGGGGTGGCCTCCAGCCCAGCCTCCTTGGTGGGCTCTGCACTCCCTGTGCCCGTCTCTCCCTGCAGGCATCACGTGGGGCAAGGTGGTGTCGCTGTACGCGGTGGCTGCAGGGCTGGCTGTGGACTGTGTGCTGCTGGCCCAGCCC